AGCGAGCTCGAAACTAGCCAACACAAGCTAGAACACAATGCCAAAACATGAGGCATGCAAGGCTACCAAAGAGGGTGTTACACTACACCTATCAAAACCAAACATGGCATGATTTAAGCAATAAAAAATAGAGTTATGGCGTGTCAAAGTAAGCCCAAAAACTTACTTAGATGGCATCCCAAAGACCTAAGCACGGTGGCATACACAATGACACATTCATGAGGCATAAAACACAAACCCTTTAAAACATTAAAGGAGTGACAAATGCAAGTACATGAGCATACTATATGGACTGAAATAATATTACAAGTGATGCTAAACCACTGAAATGATCTGAATAGAGCATGCTAGTGACTCAAACACCCAAAGCTAACAAGCTAGATTGCATGGTAGCTATACAAAACAATGTAAGCATGATCAAAACAATGAAAAATAGAGCTCGAGCATATTAAAACAAGGCTAGAAGCTTCATGGAGTTGAGCCAAAACATGCAAGCATGGTAGTCTAAATGCTAGATACACGTTAAGGCAAATGAGGGGATTGCAAGGTAAGTATATGGTGCATGCAAGAGACCACTAAATCAACTTTAAATAGAGGTAAGTTATGGCAAAACAACACCAAATACTTGCTGAAATAAAGCTAAAACAAGCTAGGCATACAAGCCACCAACATAAGCCACTTATGCTAGTATTCAAGATGACAAGGAGAGGGGATGACCCTCTCCTATTTAGGACACCAAAACCACCTCTCCACCACTAAAAATCCTCTGGATTTCAGTGGTAGAGAGGCCATGCAAAGCTCAAAGCAAGAGCCAAAAGGGATGGCCTAAAACAAGGCCTTGGAGGGGGTAAACAACCCCAAATCTCAAAATGACCTGAAAAAAAGTTCAAAAGCAAGTAAAAATAGAACTTTTATTAGTTAATAGCTAAGCTTAAAACAATAAGCAAGAAGGGCTAAAAACCTAAGCAAGAAAGGGGTATCTAAAGCAAGAATGCTCACCCTTGAAGAACACCTTCAAGAACACAACACCAGCACCTTTCTCTGATCAAAACCACTCCAAGAACCCTAACAACAACTCCTTAGAACCTCGACAACCAAGGATGGTGTAATGCTAGGTGTTTGTGTGCAATAGTGTGAACAAAATCACTTTAGGTCACAAATACACACACAAATGATAGAGATAGGAAGATATAGAGATAGAGAGAGATACAACTTTTTCTAACCCTAAGGCCTCCCCCTTTTATAGAAAACCAATTTGCAAAGCTTCATGGAGAAGCTAAGCAAAGGGCAAATCCCTCCATACGCGTGTATAGAGGGGTTGAATTGTGGATACCAACTATGCCAACTGGCACAAAATATTTGCATAAAGCAGATGAACAGGGTTCGGCCAGCAAAAGTGGCCGATCGACCAACACAAGAGCTGATCGACTAAAAAGAGTGTCGATCGGCCAAAACTTTTAGCCGATGGAAAGAAAACAAGGCCGATGGCTTCAAGCCTTGGCTGATGGGTTTAAGGGATGGCAAACAAGCCACCCTCTTCCCTCAGAAGCAAAAACACAAGTGCTTGGTCTACAACCAAACACAAAACAGTCAAGTTGAGAGATTTTAAGGCAAGGCACGCTGCCGAGACCTCCGAGAACTCAAAACGAACACGAGCATGGATGATCATCGTGCGTTCAAACAATGATGTCCAAGTCTTGAGAACGGTCAAAAATGGAGTGTCTACAGATGCGAATCCAACCTGAATTGTGCCTATGCAGAGGAGTTTGTAATCTTAATCATTTTATGTTTGCCACTTCACTGACTAAGTATGGAAATCGAGCAATCTGCTCAGCTCGCAGGGGTTTAAGGGGCAACGCCCCATGGCAGGTTCGGGGCAGCGCCATAGCGGGGTCGAGAGGCAGCGCCCTTAAAGCAAAAAGCAAAAATGCAGTCGAAATTGTTTGACCGCTCGAGCGATAATTTGTGCACTCAAGTGAAGAAAAGGATCATCCAGTATTTTTGCAACACGCTTGAACTTCTGGAAAGAAAGTTTTACCGCTCGAGCAATGAAAGTTGCACTCAAGCGGTCAGCCTATATGTTTCGCACCTTTTTTACTCACACCGCTCAAGCGGTGAAATGTGCACTCGAGTGGTATGCACCCTGTGTTTCTATAAAGTGTGTTATTCGCAATTTTTAGGATTTAAGCCATCTAGATTTTTAGAGAGAGAGAAAAAACGAAGTGCTTTATATTGGAAGCTATTTTATATGAGTTACCTTGGTGTATAGAAGGTGATCGATTGATCAACGAACTCCAGATTGTCAAGGGTTGGTGTTATTGTTTTGTTTACTAAACAGAGAGTTGTTCTTCGATAGATTCCGGGAAACTTGAGCCTGAAGCTTTGGTAGATTCCGGAGTGGCTCATTGTCGTGGATTCGACATCAGTGTTGTGGATACAACGTTGGACAAAACAATTCCGATGTGAAGACGGTGGTGGAAGAGACACATTGGGGTCAATTCAATTCGGGCGTAGATTCGCTATGTAATTGAGAGTACACTTGTGTAATTTCTTTTTGTCTTCTTAATGGATTGTTTAATGATTTTGGCCCGTAGTTTGTTTTATCACAATTGGAGGCGCTCCAATTGTGATTTTTCTATGTTAAATCGTTGTGTCGATTTATTTTTGATTGTTCAATTGGGATTATAATTTATTCTTTAAAAATTGAAAATATAATCACAAATCAATATCTCAGGATTTTTAAATTTTTCACTACCCTCATTGATATTTTGCCATCCCTTAACCTATAGTATATATGATATATTCATATATGTATAGTATATTTCATTTTTGCATATTCCATTAGGGTAGGTTCGTGATCGAAGTTAGAAACGATTTGTGAAATATATTTTTATGCATTTTTTCCATTAGCTGATATATTTTTGGTGTTCATACAATTTTGATATGAAATGAAGGGAGGGTGCGATTCATACAAATTTGTGGTTGAAGTTTTCTATCGAATCATTACAGAGTTGTATTGGAAAAAGGTGAGTTTGTTTTATTATTTATTGGCATGAACAATTATATTGTTCATGAATACAAATTCATAAATATGTATGTAATAGTGTAATAATATTTGTACGCATGGGCTATCCATGGTCGTTTGATTATTTTTTGAAACAATTTTGAATGGTTAGAAATAGAAGTCCATATTTTTGTGTTGAATTGTATCACAATGTTTCGTAATACTTTAAATCAATGCTGTGATGTGAATATGCAATTGTATCAACGTTCACAATAATACGAAATATAATGTCTCACTGGTATAGTATTGATACCAGTATGATATGAACATTCACTTTGTTATACATAGTCTGTAATAATGTGAAAGTTTACACTAAAAGTTTGTACTGATATAGCATAAACATTGATCTTGATTTGAAAGTAAACATGCATATTGCTATTGTTTCAAAGATGTTACTATTTTGTGAATTTCACAAAATACATACCCACTATTATGATATAAATATTATGCTATGACACTGTTATTGAATATTGATATAAATATTCACATTGTCATTGAATATGTGTATTTTTTTTCCATGTAAATGTTTACATTACATTGGCTTGTAAATATTGATTTTGTGATATTGTGTAGAAACCCAGAAACTAAATGTTGGGTTACTGATGTCAGTAAATACATGAACTTTCGTGTTTTTCAATCACTAATGTTGTTGATTGAGGGAAGAAAACAAATGTTGGACTTTTTAAATACACAATCTTAAAATTATTTCTTAAGAATATTATATTCAAATTTATTCATTTTTAGAATGATTTTGAAACAAGATTTATAGTATTCACTTCTTTTCATATTGAAATAGTGATAATGAAGCCATTGGGGCCCTTTTGGCTCTTTGAGCCACAAAAGACGGAATAGGCTATTTAAGCCACAACAGAAAAAACATCACATTCAACCCATAATCATTACACTATTCTCTCACAAAAAAAGTCAAAAAAATCAAAAAGTCAAAAAGCCCTTCCCAAACCAAGCTTTGAGCCCAGGCTCAAATAGTCAAAAAAGTCAAAAAGTCAAAAAGCCAACCCACTTCCCAAACGTTATAAGAACATAAATGTGATCAAATGGATCATAAGGCATATGAGATTTATGAAAAAAAATATTCAAAAAAATTACAAATATATAAAAATATGATAATATTTTATAAAATCATACAGGTGCAAATTAATATAATTGTGTGTTTTGGCTCATATCGTAATTCAGGCTAGGTTTGGCATAACCTATATAATCCATCTTTTTATCTTTTTATATTTTTTCCATCACATCACCTCTCTACTTTTCTGCACATCTTTTTATAAAAAGACAAAAAGTGCACTTTTTTAAGACACCCCAAACCAACCCAATCTCACCAAGATACAAAACTACTCGCACTTCAATATTTATGTAAATATTTGTCATATTCGTTTTGGTTATTGTTTTTTTGTTTTTTGAGATTTGTATTTGTTAAAAAATAAAAATTAAAGACAAAAAAACTTGTGGAAATGCACAATAATATTGGGTACAGTCGTGTCAAAGGTAGGGGTGTAAATCTGGCCGGATCCATATCGGGCCTCGCGGGTTCCCGCTAAAATTCAGGTTTGGCTGGGCCGGCCCACGGGCTAAAAAATAAGCCTAGGCCCAGCCCTAGGGCTAGGGGTATTCGGGCCTTGGGCGGGCCGATAGGCTGGGCCCGGCCTTAGGCTTGGGCCGAGATTGGGCGGGTCTGACTATTTTTTTAATTTTTTCTACTAAAATTTTATTATTTTCAATTAAAAAAAGACACTTACCTCTGGCGGGCCGGGTCTCAAGCGAGGCCTTAAATGGGCCTTAAGCTGACTGATAGGTCAGATCACGGGCAAAACTTCAAAATGATGGCTTAGGCCCAGGCCCAAACCCAAAAATTCGGGCTAAGTTCGTGCCCGAATCCAATCAAACCTAAACGGATTGGACCCGTCTTGGACCGTCCATGGACGGCGGGCCATTTTTCCACCCTTAGTCGAAGGAAACCTCCTCTGCTGAAACTAGCTAGCTCCCCACTGTAAATGAGGTGCATGTTTGTAAACTTTCCTCCATCCCCAGAGCAAGAAGAAAAAGGCAAACAACAACACTCTCTCAAGATCCAGTCTTTGATTTTCCCAGAAATCTCATAAATTTTCCGGGAAAACCCCAAACTTTCCTTCATCTCCTCTCTCATTTTCCATGGCAAACGCCTGGAAAAGAGATCGACCCGGAAAGCTCCTCTCCCCCAAACCCCTTCTTCTCCTCCTCCTTCTCGCCACCTCTCTTCTCCTCATCACCTTCTTCTTCCTCGCATCTGGCACCTCAAATCCTAACCCTAATCTCACCTTCAAAACCCTAGCTCTCCACCCAACAATCCAACCCTTCGATTGCTACACCTGCCCACAGGCCCACCCCATCATCGCCAATGTTGTTGAGGGTCTCAAACACCCGTTTCTCTACTCTCTCTCGGATTTCGGAACCCTACCCGACAAGCCCCACAAGAACATTGCTCGGATCCTGAAAGGCAAACTATTTAGGCGACCCGACATCTCGGTGACCATTCAGGACGTGTTGGAGAAGATGAGGGGTGAGGGAAAGAATGGGATTTTTGTGGATGTTGGGGCCAATGTGGGTATGGCCACTTTCGCTGCGGCGGTGATGGGGTTTAGGGTTTTATCGTTGGAGCCGGTGTTTGAGAATTTGCAGAGGATTTGTGAAGGGGTGTACTTCAACCGGGTTGGGGATTTGGTCACGGCGTTTGAGGCTGCCGCATCGGACCAGCTTGGAAATATAACATTTCACAAGGTATTTGATTCATTTCAATTGTTTCAGTTCAATTATGGGTTTGAATTTGTAAATTTCTACTTTCTTGTTGAAGTTTCATAACCTGTAATGTGCATCATGTATGACAAGTAATAATAATTTTGATACAGCAAAAAAATAGTGTATATATTTTATCAAAAGAAAAAAAACTGAAAATAAAAGAAAAGAAAGAAGTATTCCATTGATTTTGATACATCAAGACTTGCTAAGAGATTCTAAAGCCATCCTCTTATTTGCATTCCTTGCCACATCCATTATCATTTTGATGCTCTAGTAATAAATGAATGAATAGTGCATTAAACTATGATTATATGATTTGTTACTGTGGTGAGTTGTATAAGCTTCATGAATATAGTTGGTCTTTTTAAAGATGGAATGGATATTTATTAGGTAAATTTAGAGTTACAGCTTGAATAAAAGAGAGATTGAAGTAAAGAAAATTTGTTACTGTCTAGTTCAAACTTCATGCTGCAGCTTGCTAGAGAAAGACATTTAGAAGTTTCCTTTGGTCAATGATCATAGTACACTTCTTTTTTCTTCTTTTTTTCAAATGTTGATTAAATTAGGTTCAGTGTGGGGTCCAAATCTAAAGAGTAGAAAGTTGATTTTTTATTTAACAAGTTGATTTTGTGCTTCAATTTTGTGGGAGGGTAGAGTAGTACTTTAGTACAAAAGTAAGAAAGAGAAAGGAAGAGTCTCTTTTTTTGCCAACCATTTATGTTTAGCCAAAAGTGGATGTAAAAGAGGTAAAGAGAGGAATCTTTTCTTTTTGCACTTCCATCCTTCAAGTAAACACCCATGTTAATATGTATTGGTATAGTGATAAAATCAATAGCACTCCTCCCTACCTCGTTTCTTATTGTTCAACCAGGCGGATGGATGTAGAGAGTTTTCTTAGGTGACTTTCTCCAGCCTTCTGACCTTTTTAGTTTCTATCAATCTCCCATTGACAAAGTATATTGTTTTTAACATTTGAACCACCTTGGTGGTTAAGCTGTTTGGATCATTGAAAAGTTCCCCGATGAGGTTTGAGAACCTATCTAGTTATTTTAGTCTAAAAATTTACCTTGTAAACAGCAATCCTTGTGACTAAGTGGTCTTGTTATCTATTTACCTGTCACAATCATTAAGAAATTTACAAAATTGTTTTCTTTCCTTGCAAACGGCTATAAAGTTGGATTGTTGTGCAAACTTTAGAAACATAAAATGTACAAGATGGTGGTCCTATTAAAAGTTAATGGGGGAGGGATTGGCTTTTCGATTCCCCAGTTGCTTTCTCCCAAAGTTGTGGGAAAATAGTTCTCCTTGATCTTCATTGACATGTTAGATTCATTAGGTGTATCCTGTTTGAGCCTTTGAATAACTTCTTGATTAAGCTAGTTATTGTGGGTAGTAGCTATGCAGGGTGGTCGATTATGGATCTTTGGAAAGATGGTGGGCACTTTAATGGCCAAGGATTGCCAAAGGCAATGGAGGAGAAGAAGACCAAGGCAACCTCAGAGATAAAGAGGGTGGCAGTGAGGGACCATGAACACCTAAGTTATGGGGTTGCCGTGTAGTGTTAAGAAAAATAGATGATTTTCCACAAGTATAATAGATCAAAAGAAATGAAATTATGCAAAAAATTAAATCACCAAAGACAGGGATTTTTATGTGGTTCTCTCAAATTGAGGTACGTCCACGGGATCTAATTTCACTATCCCTAAAATTGTTTACAAATGATTACAAACACGACACGAAAGTCTAACAAAACACCCTTAGGTGAGTTTTAAGACCTCACCAAAATAATTGAACAAATGTCTTCGAAGCAAATTGACAAAGAGATCAAAGGTTGAACCAAATCTGATATGGAAATAGTGTTGTAGAAAATGTATATTTTAAATAAAATTAAATAGATTCGGACATGAATAAATCTAGATTACAGAATGAGAATTCATAAACTGATTTAAAGAGATCAAAGGTTGAACCAAATCTAATATGCAAATAGTTGTTGTGGAGTACCCACCGCCTACCCATGTCGCATCCAACTTCCCCATGCAGTATACGGCGTACCCGGTACGCGTACCCGCACCCAGTAAGCACCCGTGCTTCATTGATTCTATATCAATTTGATACAGTGTCTAGCTTAGTGTTGTGAAAAGCACGCCTTTGTGCAAGGCGCAGCGAGGCGCACCTATTGCGCCCAAAGGGGACCCAGGCGAGGCGTGTTTGAAGAGTCACATGCCTTGGACGCGACTTTGACCAGGCGTAGCGAGGCGCAAGGCGCGAGCCTGAAGGGACTTTGTTTTTTTCTTCTTGAATCTGATCTAACGGTTGTGATCTGTGTGGGAGAGGCTCCAACTGCATAGGATTACAACTCATGTAATATAATACAACCCAATCCAAATCAGTATACGACTCACTCAAAGCCCTAATCTATCGAAGAAGAAATCTGTCGACTTTGACTTCGACCGAGCTCCTCTCTCGACTTCGACTGGGCTCCTCTCCTCTCTCGACGTTGACTTCGACTCATCAGGTCAGTTCTTCTTCTCTTCTGCTTCTTCTTCTTCACTGGTCAGCGAAGAAGAAATCTGTTGTCTTTTTTTTTCTTCTTCTCTTTCGCTGCTTGCTTCTTCTTCGACTTGCTCTGTTTTTTTTTTTTTTTGGTTTGCTTCTTTAACTCTCTCTCTCTCTCTCGTTATTCTTCTGCTTTTTCTTCTTATTAATTTCAGTTCAGTCTCTGTTGAAAAAAATAAAAATAAAAAATACAAATAAGGCTTATATTACATTGAAATTACAAATTATTTTACACTATTGGTAAAATACAAATTATTTGTAATTATTTTACACTGAAATTACAAATTATTTTACATTGTTGGTAAAATACAAATTATTTGTAATTATTTTACACTGAAATTACAAATTATATTACATTGTTGGTCTTTTTTTTTTTTTCCTTTCTTTGTTAGGAAAAAAAAATTACAAATAATTAATTAATCACACATTACATTACACTGAAATTATTTTCCATTTTTCTAACCCTTTTTCTTGTCTCTCTTATCTTTCTTATTCTCTCGCTTCACTTATTTTATTAATTATTTGCATTTATGTTATGAATTCAAATTTTTAAATATCAAAATTTAATTCAAAAAACAATTAGAAGTAATTGCATTCAATTCAAATAAAACAACTACATAAATAACTATTGAAAATAATTTTAAAAGTTATACACAATTTTATTGTCATGAAACTAATATGAAATTTGTTTCCAGCTTCAAATATATGAAAAAAAAAAAAAACCAATATGAAAAAAAAAATCAACAAATTGCGTTTAATAATATCGTGTTATTTGTACAGTTTAAACAAAGCTGCTACATAATTGAAGTGTATGTAAAGTGAAGAGAAAGAATTGATGAACAAATTGAAGTTCGTGCATAATTATTCTATAATTTGTCTTGATTACTTTTTATTAAAAAAAAAAAATTTGTCTTAGTACGATGAATGATTAATCTATGTTAATTTATCTATTTTTTACTAAGACATTGCGCCTTACTTAATAAAGCCCGCGCCTCGCCTCGGGCCTAGGCCCCGAAAGACCTTCAGCGCCATAGTGCGCCTTGAGCCTTTAAAAACACTAGTCTAGCTGTTAAACTTCTTACACAAGTTGAGTTCCTACCACTTGGTGAACCAATTGAAATGTGGAAACAATAATTAATGAATAGTTATTTCCGATGTACCTAAAAAAAATAATTAATATATAGTACCCCAAAACTAGTTGCCACCAAACATTTTTAATTATACCTTTGAGTCTCCAAAAGTCACATTGAAACTTGCCATAGTTGTCAAATCGAAATGGCCTTGTACCAAATCACGAATCCAATCAAATCGTGAATCATAAAGATTCAATCACTTTTTCTAAATTACTTAATATAATATATCTACATACTTGGATGTTAAATATATCTTATAAATATAAAATATTTAAACTTAAATCAATGAAAATGTTGTTTTGAATAATGATAACATGGTTTAATAGGTAAGAAGGTAACACAGGTTCCCATGTAAAATTACCATCTTATCTTATCTTTTTTATTTTCATTTTTAAATATTTATTGTCAACAATTCTTAAAAAAGAAAGCAAACAAAGACAAACTCTCAATTTTCAAATAACAATAACTTAACACCGATGTTGATATTTCATAAACATAAATACATTTACAAGTAACAAGGACCAAATAATAAGAAAGAATTAATTGAAATTTTTTATTTTAAAACCTAAAGCATTTTAAAAGGTATATCTGCTTATTGTTCAAAGAAATTGTTTTTTAAAAAAAAAAACTTGCAAAACCATTAGGTTTAACTCACTCATATAATATTGAAGTATATTTATTTCAATAAAATAAAATACCAATAGATAATTCATATTACAAGTTACTTTAACCTTAAATATCTTTAGAAAATGCATTATATTTTTTTGAGGGAAAAAAATGAGCAGAAAATGTGTAAAACATATTGAGTCTAACTGAATCTGATTGGATCCTATTGAAAACTCTCTGATTTTCAAAATAACAAAAAATCATACATACATATATATATTGATTATTTTCATACTAAATACTATTAAAAGTTGTATTATGTCATTTTAACAAACCTAGGGGGTTGGTTTGGTGGCAACGCCTTGGATCTTAGGGGTGTGTTCCCTCCAAAGTTCAAGGATCGAAACCTCTTAGGTGCTAACAATTCATTGGAGCCATCAGACTGGGTGAAAACCCTTGAATTAAACGTGGTGCACTTACGGAAACTCCTTGTTGAGGGCTTGTGCACCCTTAAGGATTAGTTGAGTTTTGATCTAGACACCTAGTACCAATAAAAAAAAAAAATAAATAAATAAAAAGTCATTTTAACCAAAAAAAATGAAGAAAAAAAATAGTCGAAATATGTCGAACATAGTAGTTTTAAGAATTGCATGAATCGTAAAAAGTAAATCGAATCGTGCGATTCAC